AAAAAAAGAGATTTTTTAAAAAAAAAAAAAAAAAAAAAAAAAGATACCCAAATGTCCAAACACATGTGAAAGACTCTCAATTAGTAGTCATGGGAAAGCAAATTAAAATACACATGTACTTTTAAGGTGAAAATGAGTAAGACAACACCAAGTTTAGCTGAGGATTTAGAGCTATGGAAACTGGTACATTGCTAGTGGGCGTGTAAATGAGGACTAATACTTCAGAGAGCAGCTTGGCGTTGTTTACTAAAGTGGAAGATAATGCAGTCTACTACTCAGTAATTCCACTCCGAGGCATGTGTCCAGAAGAAATGTGTGCCCACGTACCGAAAGACATAAGAATGTTCAGAGCAGCACTGCTCATACTTGCTCCATCTGGAAACAAACCAAGTGGCCAGCCACAGTAGAATGGACAAATAAATTGTGGTATATCATGTGGAGCACCATAAAAGCAATAAAAATGAATAAAAATGACAGCTAGCTGCAGGGAAACAGATAAATCTCACACGTATAATGTGGAACGAAAGAAACTAGATAATATATATATATATATATATATATATATATATATATAAAGGTAAACGAAAGAAACAAACTTGATAAGCACATTCAAAACCATTGTGGTAACAGAGTAATAGGACAATTTTCTTCAGGATCTATGTAAGTCTTCAACACTGAAATCAATTCTAGTAGTGCCCTTACTTGGCAAGAGATGTTCCTCCTTTAGTTGGCAATCAGATTAGTCCTGTGGACATATGGAAGGTAAAGAGGAGAAACTATTCCAGAGAGAAGATACAGAAATAAGCTTCAACTTCCTTATTTGTAAAATGGAATAACTCCTACTTGGCAATATTGTTTTGAAGCACAAGCCCAAACATGCACATAAGTACCTAAACCATTGGCCAAAACATTAGTGTTGTTATATAGAGTTTTGAAACATTGAAAAAACAGCAAAGAAAGCATATTTCTTGAGGAGGAAACTTCTAGGGGAGAGTAGAGGAAGAAGATTGTTAGCTTAACCCATCCCCCCTCCCACTCTGGTGGCCTCTTAATGTCCTTTCTATTCCTCTATTCCCATGGTGGCTATAATTTAGAGAGTACTTCACATTCTCGATCTCAGTTGCTCTTCTCAGCCCTTCAGGTTATAACCTTCATAGCTGAGGGAATTGAGACTCAGACAGAAGTGAAGGCTGACTGATGGTTGGTACAACCCAGGTATCTTGGTACCAATAAACAACCTCAAGAATATATATATATATTATATATTTACAATTTCTGGCAGGGTGTTTAGATATTGCCTAGCTCATTTTCTTGATTTTACAGTGTAAGAAACTGCTATGAAGTGGTTTAGGACTGGCCTAGGGTCATAAAGCCATTTAGGATTAGAGTATCTATTCCTGAATTCAAAGGTCAGGGTCTAGGGCTGCATGTTCTATAATCTCATTTGCTGATGCACATAGACCAGCCCCTGCCTGGATCTGCCTGTCTCTCTGACCTTGTCTACTGCTCACTCTTTCTTGCCTCCTTCACTCTAGCCACACTCCTTCCTACCTCAGGGCCTTTATAAGTACCATTCTGCCTGCTTGTCATGCATTTTCCTATGGACTTTGCCTTACTGGATCCTCCTCAACCTTCACCTAGAGAGGCCTTCACTGACTACAGACTTTAGAGCAGAACACATGGTTCGCTATCACAACACCCATTTTACTCTGCCGTAATCTAATTGCTCTTACGATGTTATTTATTTTCTGTTTCTCTGCTCTTGAATACCAGCTCAATGAGAGAAATAATGCCTATCAGGCTCATCTCCATGCCTACAACTACAGCAGATGAAGATTAGGTGTTCATCTATGTAAAAGAAATAAACATGTTCCAGTTGCAATTTATCAAAAGCAATGCCCAAGGTGGTTAACACCCAGGTTAGAGGATGCCAATGCATGGAAGGAGAGACAGAAGAGGATGGCCCACCCTTTGAGGGATGGTGAGCCAATGAAGAAGACTCCAGTGGACCATTCCAGAGCCCTTATTTTGCCCCATGTACTGTATGAAGCCCTTTACACATATTAACTCAATTGGTCCTTATACCGACCTGTGAGGTGTGGACAATTATTTTTCTATTTACAGATGAGGAAACTGAAGCACAGGGAGGCCAAGTCACTTCTTCAAGGTTGTGCAGCTTGTACATAGTAGTCCTGGAAATTTAAACCCAGACAGGAGTTGTACTGCTCACAGTCTGTGTGGTATGCTCCCTCTCAAGCTAGTTTTCTAGGTAGGAAAAAGGTTGACTAAGCATTAGGCCACTGTGATTTTCCTGAGTCCTCTTGTGGACAAGGCATCTTATCTGGCGGAGTTTGCAATCAAACCACACAGCTGTCTCTGCTACCGACTCACAGCATTTCACTCCCTTGTTTACATTGTTCTCTCCCGGCCAGGCTACACTGGTCTCAGAACTCACCTACTGGGCTCCTTTCAATTGGCTAATCAACTGGCACTGGCAGCTTCACCTGAGATGCACAGCACTTTTAGTTGACGTTGTGTCCATTCTCCCCCCCAGGTACCATATCAGTGAACAGCAGGCGCACACCCTTCACAGCCAGTGGGGAGAGCGAAATCCTGGACTTGGAGGGTGACATGTACTTGGGCGGGCTGCCGGAGAACCGCGCTGGCCTCATCCTCCCCACCGAGCTCTGGACCGCCATGCTCAACTACGGCTACGTGGGCTGCATCCGTGACCTGTTCATTGACGGGCGTAGCAAGAACATCCGACAGCTGGCGGAGATGCAGAACGCTGCCGGCGTCAAGTCCTCCTGTTCGCGGATGAGCGCCAAGCAGTGTGACAGCTACCCCTGCAAGAACAATGCCGTGTGCAAGGACGGCTGGAACCGCTTCATCTGTGACTGCACCGGCACCGGATACTGGGGAAGAACCTGTGAGAGGGGTGAGTGGGCCTGCGTGGGTGACCTGCTAGGGTCTGGGTGGAGGTGAAGTATTGCAGTGGCATCCTGGAACAGCCCTGGCTTTTGTGTTTGCCTGTACTTTCTTCTAAAAAAAAGTTTCTGATTTTCAGGTCACTCCCCTTCTGGTTCTGAATACTTGGATTTGTTTGGTTAGGTTTGGGTGTTAGTAAAAAAGACTTTAGGATAAATATAATCATCATGAAGCTTTTTTGATTACGTGTCTCCTATTTAAAGAGAGTGAGTAATTTTCATGTGGAATTACTGGAGGGCCATTTCATACATTCAACTCATGCTTCTTTATTGTTACTTTTATATAAGCTAGTTCCTAGTTTGGCTCTCAAAATTAAGGGAATATTTTATTTTTATTACCTTTTTAGACAGATTTTTGCTATAGGGCACATGTGCTTGCCAGTGAGACAGAGGGAGAGACAGAAAGCAAGACACCTCCTCCCCGGGGGGGGGATGGCCATACCACAATCTCTTCTCCATTTTCCTCTCAGGATTTGGGGCATGCACACACACGCAGCCCATGTGAGTTTTAAGCTGCTAAATCCAGGACTTAAGCTACAGCTGACTACATGGGAGTCCAGCAATGTAACCATTACACCATCTGCTGGTCTCAGAAATATGAGAATACGTCAAAATATTAATGTAAAAAGTGGAATTAAAGTACATGTTTATTTTGGAGCAAAATACTTGACGTCCATGCATTTTTTTTCATAATACACATTTCTGGAGAATTTTTTGAAGATTTCCCTCATACAATGTTGAATAAGACAGATTCATTTCTATGCTTACGGGCCTTGCTGCCTAGTGGAATATCAAGCCATTAAATAACTTATTACAAACATGGTGAGTTTTATGAGAGGCAGTGTGATATATATTGGCTAGAAATATGAACTCTGGGGCAAGACAAGGCTAGAAATCTGATCCGCATGGAGTGATGTGAATATCAAGACAATCAGTATCTTTGAGACTTGATTTCTTCATATGTAAAATGAAAATAATCAGGCACCTACCTTGCAAGATATTGATTATAATTGAGTTAATGGGTTACTGAAATGTGGTAAGCATTTAACAAACATTATTGACAGTTATAGTTATAATTATTGTCATTATCATTAAAGGGAAGATACAGAGAAATTTGAAAGGCACTTGCAAAGAAACCTAACATACTGTAGGGATTCAGGGAACAGAAGAAGAAATACTTAATTTAAGACTTGAAATTTGAGTGGGAGTTTGCTTGCTTGGTGTAGTATTGGGTAGGCCAAGTACCAGAATACAATTCCCCCAATAAAGCACTGCACAGGAGTTTGCTATAGAGTCAGGTGGATGTTGAACCAAAGCATCTGCAGCTTTGCCCCCATGCTCACTCTGCATATCTGCTACACCTGGAAAAGAAGTGGAAGGCGTGTTGCCTAGACAGGAAGGATAGCATGGGCCAAGGAACAGATGTGCAAGACCATGGCAGAGTAGAGGATCTGAACAAAGTCCAGAATGAACTGGATCCTTTGTTATTTTTTTGAATAAAGTCCAGAATGAAATGAGGAGGAGAAAGGTTATGAGAGCTAGTTGGTCAGGTCAGGCTAAAGCTCCAGAACATGTCAGTTTACTGGAAGGAGCCTCTTTCCACTCACTTTTTTTTTTTTTTTTTTTTAAAAGGCCATAGGTTTTTTTTTTTTAAAGATTTAGGCCATAGGGCATGTGTGGTCACAGGAGAGAGAGAGAGGGAGGGAGGGCAAGTGAGAAATCACCCTGGAGGGGTGATGGCCACACCGAAGTCCCTTCTCTTCCATTCTCCTCTCAGGATTTTGGGCATGTATGCACACATAACTGGCAAGTTTTTCAAGTCACTGGGTTAGGACTGTGTGGTTCAATCAGCAATATAGGATCCAGCTGCCTTAAACCACCACACCTGTTGGCCCTCTATTCACTATTTTAGCTCATGCCATTTATGCTTAATTTGCTGCTTGTACAAAGAGCAGAGATTAAACACGTGCAAAGAGATAACATCAAGGAGACCAGCAGATGGCCTAGTGGTTACATCATTGGACTCCCACATGATTGACCATGGTTCAAGTCCTGGACCTATTGGCTTTAAACTCATGCTGGGTGCGTGTGTGTGTATGCGTGCGTGTGCATGTTCAAGATCCTAGGAGGAAAATGGAGGAGAAGGGATTGCAATGTGGTCATCCCCTATGGTGGGTGATTTCTCACTTTCCTTCTCACTATCTGTCTTGCTCTCTAGCTGGGACATGTGCCCTATGGCAAAAATCTCTTAAAAAAGAAAAAAGGAGATTTCAGTTTATAAGACTGCAGCTTGCTCAATTTTTTACATGCCAAACACACAGACTCAAACTGTCTGTCTATGGGTTGTCAGCCACTACTTTACAGAACAAAGTAATTTACACAGTCATCAAGTTTTTGCCAAGAGAATAGATTTAGAGTTCTGCATCTATAGTAGACATGGTGCCTACCCTCAGGAAGCTTATTATTTACTTATCTAAGGTGTTGACATCTACACAAGGGAGGTGCATGGGCTCTAATGATGAAACAGGAGGAGAACAATGTGGAGGTTCAGAGAAGGGAAGAACATTTTAAGGAAAGATCTGCAAGGTCTCTTCCATAAACATCAACAGTGGTCAGAAATTGTCCAGGTATCAGAAGTCTAGTGATGAGGAGGAATCCTGAACCAGATCTGGAATAGGGGTTCAATGACCAATGAGGAGGTGCTTTCAAAAAGGATCCTTCATGGTTTAAATGAAGTCAATTGCACTACTAAAGTATATTTCTAGAGAACTGAAAATTTTCCTACAGTGAGACCATAAACAGGACACAGGACATTGAAGCAAAGGAGAAAAAGAGAGCTTTCTTGAAGCTTAGGAAATTTAAATTCTGATTCACTGAATTTTCAAAGTAGCTACCATCAAAGCATGAGCTAAGCTGAGGAGGCAGCCATCTGGAACAGAAATAGGCCATGTGGGGCTGGTCAGTCTGTCAAATACCTGAACTGTCTCCAAAAATCTTTGTAGGGCAGCCTATCCCAGTGTTGCTTTGGGAAGATAGAAAGGTCAATTGACCCCTGAGATGCATAAGACAATTTTGAGTAAGCCAGGGTGTTGCGGATCTTCTGTTGTCTATGAAAGCAGTGTAAGAACCAAAGGTCACTCCAGATATCTCACTTCCTCCTCTTAGGTCTCTTAGAACTCTAGGGCCTTGTGATTGTGGAAGTAGGCAGCAGTGACTGTAGCTAGCTGTGCAAGGTGTCTCTGAGCTCACCTATCCCAAGGGCAAATCAATGGGATTTGGTCCAAAATTTGCCAAGTACAATGAATGTCATTGCACTTTTTACATCATCACTTCTGACTAGTCATTAAAAGGCAGCTGATTGGGGATATATGAGGGACAATTATTCTTGGTACTGTGCAGCCAAGAGTCATCTATTCTGGCCAAATGAGAAGGAGCTTAGCATATTTAAGACATTTGATCTATATATTGCTCAAATCCCAGACGGTTCAACTGATTGTTTTGTTCCCCCACTAATTGTTTTTTGCCCCTGCATTGTTCCTGACACACTGTTCAGAATGAATCAGTGGAGTGTAAAGATGATAGGACTTGACTCTGCTAGCAAAGAAAATAGAACTTCCCCTTGACATTGTTTTCCTTTATTGAAACTGATTCCTCAGTAGAGATTCTTCTGAATATCTTTTCATTTTTTTTGTAGCCATGATAGCATTTATTAAGGCCTAGTATGTTACAGGCACTATGTTTGATGCTGGAAATGCAAAAACAAAAAACAACCTGACACAACCTCTATTTTTGATCAAGGAGCATGTGGTCCTCCCAGTGAAGCAAAGGGAAATATGGGAAATGTTTATGGTAGATGTTATGCCAGATGTCTATAGGGGAACAATAGGGTAAACAGGTTATAGTGGATATGTCTGTGTGGGAGAGCAATGGTCAAGAGAAAGGAATTCAAGAGTTCTTAGATTTTCTTGTCTTCTATTCTTGACTAACAATGGTCCCTTTCTACCTCTGATACTCAGTATTCATTATAGGCACTTCAGAAGAGTGGTGAAGGAAGTGTTTGGCATTCCCTTTATATAGGACCATGATTCCTTTAGATTAAAGAATATGGCTCAACCCATCATAACAACATCAACTTGGTCATTCATTGCTATTATCTCTATTTTTTTTTCTGGAAGAATTAACCTTAAGTTAAGGAGTTGGTCATCTTAACATTTGAAAATTGGCTCGATGTAATATATAGATTTTTTTTCAGCATAATCTGATGCTCTAAGAAAATATAGATGTCTGTATCCCAATTTTGGTTATTTTTGTTTTTCTATTTTAAGTGATGTGGGACATGTCCTTATGACCTAAATAGCAAAGTTCTGTTTTAGCTACTTAATTCTAATCACTTTGGTTGAAATGCATTAATCTATTGGGAGATTACCTGCCATCCGTAAAGTATGTCGAGCAAAGGAAATAATCTAGCTTGTCTTCAATCTGTTCTGGAGTTCTTCCTATGAGCACTTGACCTGGAATGACACTGGCAAGAAGATGCCACACTATTTAGTTCAATTGGTGAGAGTCAAGTCTTAGTAAGGCCAAGCTAAAGACTTGATTTATTTATGAACCATTGAGTTAACATTGGAGGACACTTCAGATTCTGTCCTCTTCTCTGGATGGCTTTTTCCGAAAGTAAGCTATTTATTTATCAAGAAAACAGGGCTTTGCATAAGTTCATCCCTATGTCAAGAAAAATAGTGCTTAGAAGCATGGCACCTCATGGCTGATGGCATGGATTTTGGAATCAGAATGACCTTGATTCCTGCATCAGTTCTATTACTTACTAGTGGGATGATGTACAGCAGGTGCTTAATTCTTCTAATGTCTCAGTTTTCTTATCTGTAAGACAGGAGACTGATCAGGCTTCAGTTCTTTTGGCTGCAAGGTACAGAACTGACTCTGGTTGATA